GGATGGAGTTAGGAATAAAGTGAGCATGGCCCGAGCGTCCCATGAAATGAGAATTCTTATTATGTTTGTGAAACCAACTTCTTTGATCCTTTTCTTTCCCAACATCAGAGGAATCTAAATTGTCATTCCATCCACATCTCAGAGACCCCCATGAGTGGCAAATTAAGGGATTATAGGGCTAGTTTCATCAAACTGCCTAACACAATCAAAAGAAATTTAGGTGTTCCGGTTCATTTAGAGGGAGAATGCTTTAAGTAGGGGGCTCATTTTCTTCACTCGTCTATCAATCTGTTGATCATTGGACAAAGAATAATATTAAGAATAACATTAGGTTAACCAGTGTTTATAGTTTTGGCATCATTTGCACACTTTTGCCACTCTAATTATCCTTGGAGAGGTGAAAGGGGCCATACAGCATGGAATGAAATTCTATACTTTGTTTCATGGATGACCAAATACATTGGCCAAATACAAAACCAAAGACATTTAATGTATGAGGGCCAGTCTTCTGGTTGCAAGTCTCTCTGGTCTTGGATAGGAGATAGTAGTCTGTTGCTAGGTAAGGGCCACAACTTTTGAATCATGATAAGCAATGATTGTAAGACTTTTGTGAGGAGTATGGTGTGAGAACAAACTAACCCTGATTATCCCAATAGTATTGATAGAGAAAGCTTGAAAGAGGAGAACAAAAATACATTAGGTGGAATAGATCTGCTCATCATCTGATAGGGACGCATTCTCATTGATGATGGGAACATTTTATTGGTGAAATTACTTCTATTCCTCTATTTGCTGCTTTTGTGGAAATCTATCGGTTGTTATTCTATTCACCAGAAACTTCCATATGTCTTCTGGATTTATTTATAGCAAGAATTTCAGTAAAGATGTGGTTCATTTCAGTGTTCTATCAGCTTGTTAGTTATTAGACAAATCTCACATTAAGATTTTTGGACTCTACCATTTCAATGGCAGCTAGGTGGTACAATAGATAGAGCACTGGGCCTAAGTCAGCAAGACCCAAGTTCAAATCCAGCCTCAGGCACTTAGTAGCTATGTCACCCTGGGCATGTCACTTAACTGTTTGCTTCGGTTTCCTCTTCTATAAAATGAGCTGAAGAGGAATTGGTAAGCCACACCAGTATTCTTGCCAAGAAAACCCTAAATGGGATCACAAAGAGTTGGACACAACTGAAAAATAACTCAACAATGGCTTGACTTAATCAAATGCATAAAGAAGTAATATGTACTAGAAATAACACAATTCTAAAAGTATTATATTGATTTGCAAGGCATTTCCTAAGAAAGAGTCTTCCAAAAGAATGGAAACTACACAAAGGATACTAAACCCCTAATTCCCTCATTGTCTTCCTCCCCCCAAAAAGATAACTGAGAAACTATGAGCTTTTCCTGCTGTTAACCCACCTACTTACTTATTCATCTCTGCAAAATCTTTATGAAAATAGTCTCAGCATGCATAAATGGCATCCTTGATGAAAATGTTAGCAGGCAAGCTTTTTCAGAAACTTGTTTATTGCAGGTCACACCTTCACAGTTATCCTTTTGACTAAGAGGGTAGTGAATATAATATTCTGCTCTTTATTTTTTTTTATTTACAAGTGTTTGGTTATTCTAAATAGCCTTAAAGGCTACACTTATATAACATGGTTCCCACATATATGCTAAAATCATCCAGGTTAATGTGACAGATGTGTCCACATCTTGACTTCAGTATGAAAGACCACAGAAGGAGGCAAAGTTTAGCTTGGATATTTAAAGATAAGGAAAGACTATTACTATAGGTAGATGATTACAAGACAAAGATGATGACTTCATGCAGCACTGATTTATCAACAGAAAAGTACTGACCCCTTTACACCATTTGAAAGGGGCTAAACAGGTGAATGACTGCAGCTGGGTAGGTATCTAAGAGTCTTCCCACTCTTGGGGGTATTTTCAATATGTTACCAGTGTGCTGACCCATGGGAAGGCAGTGAGGGAGAAATTTGATGAGTATGTACCTTCTTCCTCCATATATCTTTTTGGGGGTGAAACCCACCCTGGTATAAGAGCTCAGTTCAGCAGAAGAGAGGGCCTCTAGTGAAATGATGACTCAGAAATCGTTTAGACTATGTTCTATAAAGAGAGCCTCCATCTTCTTACCCTAGTGGTGTTTGAGAGCCCTAGATAGGACAGAAGCATAAAGCATGAGGATCTTTGTTCACGTAAGGTCTTTACCAGTGTTGTGGAAGATTTCTTCTACAGAGTTCAGACTGAAGAGAGATTCTTTAAATAGTTTTTATTTATAATTTTTTTGTTTTTATATTGCCTCAATTTCACCCTGTATTCCTTCAGTTTTATATTGCCTATTGGGTACAGGCAATCCTAAACCACAGGGGTTACTCAGAACTAAGAATAAGGTCAGAGAACCATAGGCATATCTAACCTCTGATCAGGGCTGCATCATTAGGAAACCCTTACTATCCCTTAGCTTTCCATTGGCTAAAGTTTTGTTTCAGTGTTACAATCTATGCTTAAAACTAATCATGCAACTCAAAGCCCACATCCTACTTACAATGGTGAATCCGTAGTGTTATTTTAATATATGAAAGATAGCCCATTTAATACAATCTGCTAGACACTAGCACCTATCTCCCAGGGTTGTTGTGTGGATCAAATGAGATAGTAATTATAAAGCACTTAGTTCAATGCTGGCATATAGTAAGTGCTACACGAATGTGAACTATTATTAGTTTTTATTATTATTACTATGCTATTTTAGAATTATAATAGGAATTGTTGATGGAATTCCTATATCTAAATAGGTTAGAATTTTTTTTTATGGTAAGTTTGGACAATTCTTCAATTCCACAATATAAAAGCTTAACAAAATGTATTTTTTTCATACTCTTACATAAGCCACCTGGCTTAAGTTACCTAGTGACTGCTGTTTTTGTTTTTGTTGCTGTTGTTTCTTTGTTTTAAAGAAACAGGAAACAAAAGGAGCTCAGAAGCTTACAAATCAGATATTCTATACTAAGCTGAATCAGATTTTCAGACTTCAAGTATAGGTGGTTCCTTGCTGGTATATGTTATGTGGGAAGGCAAGAAATCAAACTAGTAACTAGGCCAGAGCCCAACCCCTACATGTAACATCCACTTCACGTTAACTCCCTCAGCTTTCATTCTAAGTGACAAATGCACTGCTATAGTCCTCAGACTTTACATTTAACCCAAAACTTCTGCTGTGCTCACAGCTCCTAAGCCATTCTCCCAAACTGCCCATCACTTTACAAGAACAATGAAGCTACTTCCTCGCAGGTGATCCTTAGTCCCTCACATAATTGCAAACATTTGTTTCCCCTTGCAACCTGCTCTGTGCGAGATGGAAGAATATGTTTGGCAATGGGATACACTCATGTCCCTCTTTTGCCCACAATGTTCCAAGTTCTTGATACGTACCTGTTATGACATGCTAAATGCTAAAAGAACATTGGCTTTGGAGTCATGGGTCCTGAGTTTGAGTCAGAGCTCTTCAACTTAATATCTGTATAATTCAGTACAAGATATTTCACTCCTCTAGATCTCAGTTTCCTCAGATGAAAAATTAGGGGTTTGGACTAGATGATTCCCCATGCTCCTTCCAAATTCTACATGTAAGACCATATTGGGAAAGAAAAGGTCAAAGAGGTATGACTTAATTTAAGTAAACATAATATGTGAAAATCCAATAGCAAAAAATATAAAGGAGTGATTATTAACTATTTTAAAAAAGCTTTATAAAAAAACTTACAAATGGTTGGATAGGATCCCTTTAAATGGCAAGTAACCCCAGTGAATGTGAAGATTCAGTGATTTAGTTTACAAAAAGTTAATTTATAACCTAGCTTTTATTTTCTCAGATGATGCTAACCTATGTTTCCTCAGTGAAGTTGACTAAATGAAGATATCTAGGATATATGTATGTTGTAGGAGAGTGGAGAGAGAGAGGGAGAAAGAGGGGGAGAGAGAAAGAGAGAGAAAGAAAGAGAGAAAAAGAGAGAGAGAGAGAGAGAGAGAGAGAGAGAGAGAGAGAGAGAGAGAGAGAGAGAGATGCAAATTATTCCTTAGAGTAAATGAACTGTTGAGAGGGTTTAACATTTCTTGTTTATAATCTGTGAATTTAAAGGCTCATTTAATGGCACAAGGGGAGAAAAAGGTTCATTCCATAAAATGACAGATGTAAAAGTAGAAGGGAACAAGGATTTGTATAGCACCTACTGTGCACCAGACACTTTACAAATATTATCTCATTTAATCCTCACAGCAATATTGCCCATGCTATTATTGTCCCCAAGTCACCTTGAAGGAAGCTGAGGCAGCCAGACGTTAATGACTTACCCAGGCCCACAGATAGGAAGGGTCTAATGTCACATTTTTAATCTGGTTCTTCTGACTTGAGGCCCAGTTCTCTGTTCACTGCACCACCTAGCTGGAATAATAACGTAACTCATATTCCAAGTGAGAAAATTGAACCAGAAAGCTCAATTTTAATACAGGTCTCTTTATTAGTCTAACATCCTTTTCATAAGATAACAGTTCATCACATCTAGACTATATGACTCTAGAACTTATCAGTTCTACTGATCACTGAATCAGTGTTATTAATATTAGTGCATAAGAGTGGGAGGGTAGTGAGGATTGGCAAAAAAACCCAACATACCAAGATGCCATAATGTCACCCATTCCTTTAATTATCTTTTTTTTTATTGCGAGGAAACTCAGAATTCACCTTAAGTATTATTCTTTTGTGAACATAATCTTAAATTAAGATTCCCCCAAAATGGGATTTTTACTGAAAACATGACAAGATATGTGTACATATATGTATATAATATATGAATATATTATGATGCTAGGAACAACATTATACTATTCAGTTGGTAACAGAAAACTCTTAAGTTTTAGAATGTGTCTCCTCATTTTTTTTTAAACTTCTTATTCATGTTTAATTTTGTTAATAGAAAACTGGACAGAAACCAGAATGTTTGGATTTGTGTGGAGCACATATTGAATGGACCAAAGAAAAATCAAGCAGAAAAAATGTCTTTCAGGTAAGTGTATTGCAAATACTCAGTTTATTAGTGTCCCCTTTTGTGAATAAGAAGTCTTTTGGGTCACATCCTAGGTAGTTTAAAAGTTTTAGCAGCTATGAATTAATCGAGTAAAGACTGCTGATTTTTGTTGTTTTAAAGACCATCTTTTGTTGTTGTTGATTCCATTTTGGGGGGCTTTTTAAAGAATAAAAGCTCTGGCAACTGAATCCTATCAAAACACTAAGGATGTGTTGATTTGTTGATTAATGTTCTGTGTGTATTCAATTGGTTTTTGCAAGTTGGTAGGTAATTGTTTTGGGTTTATGCCTAGAATTCTTGACCTAGAGAGCCTTAATAAATAGAAAGTTCCCAAGATGCTTACACAAGTTGAGCTCCAACTGTGTATGGTTACCTTGTTGATGTTGTTGTTATGGTTGTTTTTTTCTAAATTGCTGCTTATGGTTGTGATTTCCTCGGTATGTTCACTGGTGGGAGAGAGTAGGATAAAAGGATTCCGGAACTCATAAAGGAGGTTATTTATTTCTACATTTTAGAAAATTGCATTGAACAGAAAATAAGCAACTTTATATGAAATATATACATATATATATTTGTGTGTGTGTGTGTATGCATATGCGACGTCCAAAGTTAACCCCTTGGAAAGATAAATTCTAAATTATAAAGGTTTACATATTGTTAGATTCTGGGAATGGAATCAGTGGTGATCCTAAGATATGATTGCCTTCATCCAGAACAGCATCATTCTTCATCTTAACATTAGGAGTGATTTATTTTAATTTTAGGTGCCAAATAAGTTGTCCTTTACCTAAGTAGTCCATAAATGGTATCCTCAGCACATACCACAGGGTTTGGCACATACTGATTGAAAACATTGCTTCCCTCTTCAAATTGCCTTTTTCTTATTTACTTGTGTAAATGTTATATCCTCTTTACTCTCACCTCCACCTCTAAGTGGAATGTAGTCATCTCTTTGAGAACAGGATCTGTTTTTCATTTTGTTTTTCTATACCATGCATCTAGTATAACACTTTGTATGTTGTACGTGCATGATAAATGCTAATTGTGATTGAATTAATAGTCATACGTTGGGATGCAAAGACTGTGTGATTACATATGTAGGGCATGCTGGGATTAGGCATTTTGTTATCTCAATATGAGGAAGCAGGTTGCCATGGCAAAATAATTCATAACCAAGTGGCCAGACTTATGAGTTTTTCTCTGAACTTGGGTAGGTTGGTTCTGGAAAAGTCAATATGGATGTTGTAGAGCTGGCTTTGAAGCCCTTCAGTTGTAGATCTGGGCAGAATTTGCACTCCCCCAGATAGCCTTCTAAAATCCAGAGTCAAATTTGGATCAAGATGGAGCACTGAATTAAGTTTTTGTGGAGAACTAGAGAAAGGCTTCCAACATGTGGGATGAGGTCCCTATGAAAAATTTAAGGGAGTCTAACAAGTATCATTAAGAGGACATGTGTGACCTAAGCTTTATGTCTCTAGAGGAGATTACAGAAATATTGGAGTATATTGGGATAAATAATGTTTTATACTAATTAATATACCAAAGAAAAAGTTCTACATTTTAGTACCCAGTGCAGATCTTCTGATTCTGCTCTTCTTCACATCAAACATATTTGTTCTTATTTTAATTTTGACTTTATCCCTCTTTTATTAACTTATCTATATGTGGTTATTTGAAAATTTAATATTTTCTTCCTTACTATGGCATTAGGCTGAAAAAAAAAACATGCACTCTGAACTCTTTTAGGATCCATGATAGAATATATTTTCTTACTCTTGTTATTTTTTGGGGGGAGGAAAAGCTTAAAAAGAGTATAATAAGCATATTTTTCTTCATTTATTTTGTTTACAATCATTATTATTTCTACTACTATATTGTGAACTTACTGAGGATAGGGACAAGGCCTTAATAAATGCCTATTCGTTGATTGACCTTTATATCCTGCACAGTACCTAGCATAGTGTCTTACATTTAATAGGTGCTCAGTTAAGGTTTATTGAATGAATTAATGAATGGACAAATGACTATATGTTGTAAGAGTGAACCCTAAAAAAATATGAGCATAAAGGATTTTTGCAAATGTCCAGCCTCTAGTCCTATTCAATATAAATTTTGTATAATTCTTTTAATGTATTATTGGGGTGGATCACTTATGCCGAAAGCACAGTAGATTAAATAAAAGTCAGTAATGCCCATCTATTGATAGAGAATATGAAACGAAGTCTTTTGAGAGGCATGTTATAAATAGCATCCATAGTCCTGTTAACTGAAAGAAGAAAAAAAAAAGGATCTAGAAGGATTTGCCAGAGAGCTAAATCTAGATGACTTGCATCAATATTTGATTAGATACATTAGCTGGCCTCCCTCAAATGATCAGAATAAACATGATTATATCTCAAAAACAAGGTATTAAAGCATTGTTGGGTGTTTTGAATGTGTGTGTGTTTTGTGTGTGTGTGTGTGTGTGTGTGTGTGTGTGTGTGTGTGTGTGTGTGCGTGCGCGCTCATGGATTTCATTACCCACAGAATAATAAAGTGTTTGTTCCTGGCTGAAATAAGACCATGATGACTTCGGCTGATATGTGACATTAGAAATAGATTTAGAATTCCAAGTTTGAATTAGGCTTGGTGTTCAATCTGAGGCTATGAATTATAGATTACAGATAGCAAATGACTATTGAGATTTTTGGTTCAAGAAAAATCAAAGAAGCAAAATTAGAAGTAATTTTAAATTTAGAAATCTATCTTGAAAAAGCAGATGGATTACCAATTATATACCACCGTAATTAGAGTGAATGTAGGGAAATGGAACAGGAAATTAATAGGGAAAATCATTGTCTGTGTAAGATGTGCTTGAAAAACTCAGAAGCGCCCATGTGCTATACTAAACTGTGAGGCATTTCCAGCATTTGCATATATTGTTAGGTCACATGAATTTATATGTTCCTAGTTTTTGTTCAGAGAGTTTAGTCTTGTGCTTCCTTTACCATCAAAGTTCCATCAAAGTCTAAACGTGCACTTGATATTTCTTAAAATAGTAGGGAGTAGTGCAAGAGCGATAACATTAATTAAGTATTAATGTATAGCCATTGAATAATCCTGAATAAATCATATTGATAGCCACAGGGCTGATTTCAGAGAATCCTATAGCTTATCAAAGAGCAAAAATGATTCTTCTCCATTTATACTATTTAGTACAAAAATAGAATATTTGTCAAAATGTTTAAGTAGCTCAGCAATAGGTTCCACATATTTGATGAATTTAATTCCATAAACATTTGTTTAACACCCATGATGTCTAAGGCACTGTAGCAGATACCATGGAGGCAACAACGATTTTGCCCTCAAGCAGCTCATATTGACTAGGAGAGAAAATTCATATAAACAAATAACTATAATACAAAATTGATTATGATCATTTAATTCAACTTAACAATATTCTTTCAGGACCTACTATGTGTGTGATATTATACTGTCCAAAGTTTTGCAGATAAAAAAGTTTTTAAAAAATGTGGCCTCTGCCCTCACCGAGATAGATGCTATGTTTATAGAAAGTATGATATAAAATAAAATGTGACAGCAGTGAAAGAACTAGACAAAGTGTTATTTGAGGAGACAGTGATCACTTTTACCTGAAAGAGAGAAAAGGAAGGAGTCACAAGAAGCTTCCTGGAGAGGGGAGGCTAATAATAAAGTGAAATGAAGACTGAGGGACTTCCAGTAATTTTTCCTTTGCAGGTCTGAATTTGTGTGCTTGTGTTGTGTGTGACAGACTTCATGGCTACAAAGGGCAAAATAATTTCTTAGCTAAATGAGTGTTGGGTTTTTTTTTTAACTTTTGTTTAATCCTGCTCTTGGTGTGACCAGCAAGAACTATGATGTGTTTAAAGATGCCAGAGACACCATTTAGCAACAGAGTGATTTGCAGTGAAGTGCTGAACCAGTTTCCCTGGTTAACGAATGTGATACACGAGGTTTTCATCAGAGGAGGGGTGTATAAAAAGATTTGTGTTTGAATCACATGCTTTAAACATTCTTGCTAAGTGCTAGTTTGCTCTTTGTTGTTTAGCCTGAAATTTAAAGCACTGAGGATTAAAAGGATTACAACATAATCTTAAATAATCCTGAATGTCATTTATAGAGAGACAGTTGTAATAACTAAATAAAACCATGTTAAGGGATGGCAGTATTGTCAGGCTGTATTTGAAACTGAAGCACTACCCCTACCACCTTCTTCATTCTTCCATCCTGGTGTGATCAGGAATTTTAGATTTCTCTGGAAGGAAATTACAACTAGGAAGTAGAACATAAAGCAAAAGGAGCAGTGGTTAAAGTAAGATTTAAAGGTAAATGGGTATTCCATTCCCCTTCTTCTAAGTGGTTTTCTCACCTTCTAGGAAATTATCTTACCCACTTGTGCTACCAGTACCTTTAGGCAGCTAGGTGGCACATTGGATAGAGCAATGACCATAGAGTCTGGAAAACCTGGATTCAAATTTGACGTAGGACACTTACCAGTCGGTGGCTAGTCTCTGGCCCCAACCTCCTGCTTCCCCTCCTGCAAGGAATCAGCCCTTGGGAGAAGGGTTGGGGAAGGAGATGTTAGTGATATCTATTCTTGCTTCCTTGGGAGACACATTTGTATGGATCCACATGGATATATGTAACCTATACAGAACAACGTGATCCCCACACCACCAACCCCTTACCCGTATATAGGTTATAGGAGAGATATAAATTAAATACTGACATATAAGATAAACTTTGAGTAGAAAACACTAATAGCCAGAGGGAAGGGGGGGGTGACTAAGAAAGGGCACCCTCAGTAAGTGGCACTTATGCTGGGTCTTGAAGGAAACCTGACCCAATGGACAGCTCTATGGATACTACTAGAATGTCTCTCTGGGAGTGGTTAGGGTTACTCAAAATTTGGTAGAAGGCTGCTATGAAGTAAGTCACCATCATTTCTGCTGCACAAA